CCAATGATCTAATCCTAATTACCCACGGACAGAATCTTAAAATGATTCACAAGTTCCAACTCTATACCCTATGCACCTCCAAATCAGCAACCCCAACTAAAATCCAAATCGGCAACCCACGCGATGGACCAACCCACGGGCAAAAGCAACAACCATTCACAAAATTCACACTTTACACTTTGTATACCTCTAATTAACACCGCCAACAACAACAAGGTAGCAGATCTTCACCAATCTCTGAAAATCACGATCGTAATCAGCACAAATTCTACCTAGCGAGTATCGCTACCCTAATTGTCGACAAACAAAGTCAACGAATTACCAGTCCATAAAGACTAATTATACACCCCAAAGTTCCCAAACAACCGTGATTGGTACTATTCTATACTGAGAAGACACAGCCAAAAACACAATGCAGAATCTGTGGAAGCACCAAAGGTAAAAGAATCATGAGCAACACCACGCCCGAAGTAGGAGCTTAGACAACAATGGACAACCCCGGTTGCAGCTTGAAACCCGTTGTCAGCGACGGTGGGGGATACTGGTCGCCGCATGACGTCCGTTCTCTCACTCCCGGAAGTCGACGTTTGACGATGCACTCTTGTCCTTCATCTCCAGCTCTTCGCACAGATAAAACTGTGACCGCCATTGCAACACGATCACGATCTGTATCTGTAATCAGAGGGCAAAGCCCCTGATCAAGTGATAACACTGATATGTACAATGCGCAGATCTTGCCCGTTGACCAACCCTACATCTCTCCCCTTCCTTCTGCGGCCAATCTAGGATTACCAACTCTCGTTGGCCAAGATCAGGCTATGGCAGGTGCATGTTTGTGCCCCCTCGAAGCGGCTCCCACACTCTATCACCTCTCTACCTCCACTGTACCCAACAGCAAGTTCTGGCTAAGTGGAGCTTATCCACAACTGCCCCCGTGCAATCCCCCTGCTGCCCGCACATCATAATAGCAATGCACTAGGGCAGCGTTACCGCTGCACTAGCGCGGACCTTATGTCAGGGTCACATAGAAATTCTTTACAACCCCCCCCCCCCCCCAAAAAAAAAAAAAGAGTCTTTACCAAATTAAAAAAATAAATATATATATATATGTTGTCCTCTTCTCCCTCTCTGCCTACGGTTTACCGGGCAGTTCTGTTTGTGACGATATATATATATATACATCGTCACAAACAGAACTGCCCGGTAAACCGTAGGCAGAGAGGGAGAGAAGAAGACAACAAACGAGGGGCAGTGATATATATATTTATATATTTTTAGCCCAGCCGGACAAGTGGACCGGGGCCACTCTGGTAACATAGATTTTAACTGTATTTTTTATTCATTTTCGGCCCCTGCGGACAAGTGGTCCCGGGCCACTCCGGTAATGTAGCTCCCCAACTATAACTACCGCATCTAGACCTGAAAATCCCGGACGTACTAGGTCAGCAAAGTCTAAGAATCACTGTCTTCACCCGAATAGAACGCCCGGTCATTATAGCTGTATTTGGCACAACTTTCGATCCAGATGCAGCGATAATGACCGGGCGTTCTATTCGGGTGAAGACGGTAGTAAGAAGGAATATGTATAACATTACGCTACCATCTTCCCGTGATCACAACGCACCCTCATTGTGACTTTAATGGACATAAACATTGTCTTTTTTTTTTTTTTAATTAATGCGCAGGGTGAATGCTAACCTCCTCTGTATCGTTCCAATTTTAATGGATGTCCCTAGGGGCGAAACATTGCCTGTTGACGTTCACAATGAGGTTGGGTTGTGTTCGGGGGAAGTCCGTAGCCTTAGAGGCTGGAGTGTGTGCTCAAGGGAAAGGTATGGTGAAATGGGAAACCAAGTCGTTACTTTCCAAGCCCACCTTCTTCACCCGACCAGAACCATTGGTCATTATAGTTGTATCTGGGGCAACTTTCTGTCTAGATTCAGCGATAAAGAAGACGGTAGCTTATGACACCCTCAAAATCGTTGAAGTTGCCCACCAAAGACACGTGGAATCAGTAGCCTGAGTAGCATGACTGAGTTGCATTGGAGAGGTGTTGAGTTTGAGCCCGGGTCACGTCCGAAGAGATGAATCTGCCGGTTCGATGGACTGATAAGGGCTGAAACATACCATCCATATCTTTGCACAAACAGGAATGCAAAATAGCAGTTAAACCACCAGTATTTACGGAAGTGCAAAATCACAATTAAACCACCAATCCCTTTGACGCTTCCCTTGTCGAGCCTGGTAATGCCCGGCGCGCCAAAGAAAAAGAACTGGCATGGGCCTGCCTTTGGCTCGCCAGCCATTTCGCCCTGTAAGCTGACCCGCGAAACTTGCGGTGCATTAACAACCGCGTCGAAAAACATGGCTGCACGGGGGTTTAAACCACCAGCACACACCTCATATAACAGCGAGTTCGTCAAAACGGACATTTTATATTTTTTGAACGAAATTGAAATTGTCATTTTCATGATGATTTTGGTGATTTTTTTCGTTTTGAGTACACCATTTTGGGTACATACCCCACATTTGTTTATGGTTTGTGCTCATGTTGACCACAAGTTTTACATTGTTTTGTCAGACATTTTGGGGGGTGTTACGGCTTCATTCGCATGATGTGAAACTATAGGGGTCTTCATGAAGGGTTTTATTGTACTTTTCTATCAAATCCGTTAGCATTTTCTATATTTCGTAATATAAAATGAGTAATTTTTTATTTTTTATTGACAAATGCATTAAAACAAGAGAAACATATTGAATATCATACGCAAAAACGCATATGGCAGGTTCAGTCAATGACAAAAAACTTCATGAACATCTATACAAGTTTGAGACCTTTCGTGTCACCCAAGAATGAAAAACAACGTTATGTTAATGTTTTCGAAATCCATAGAAAAGAAAATTGACTTGTTTAGATCAATGCAAAGAAACATTGATGCGGAGTTTGACTCATGTGACATATGATACATGTGCGCGGAACAAAATGTACATAGAGAGACTCCATCTCTCTCTCTCTCTTTCTCTCTTTCTCTCTCTCTCTCTCTCTCTCTCTCTCTCTCTCTCTCTCTATCTATCTATTTATCTATCTATCTATCTATCTATCATCTCCCTCCCTCTATCTATCTGTCTATCTATCCATCTATCTATCATTCACTAAGTCAATGTCTACAAAAGTTTATGTCATACCCTTGACGCATTTCTCTACACTACGAACATGTGCAGTCGTGCATTATCGTACAAAATATGGAAATCCGCCTCGAAAATCCAGTAACGAACTGGAAAAAACAATATGAGCATTCGTACGAGCGCAAGATGTAATCTATTGCCACAAAGTCTACATCGGCTAAGCTACAACTTTTATACAGCAAAATGTCGTAAAGTTCTACACCGACGCAAGTGAACAAGATTGTTGGTCATGCCGTTGGCTCGGCGTAGTACATTGTTTGCAATATTGACGCCGGTGGTCAATTTCATTTTTCAAATTTGCGGTTGACCCCCATCGTTTCTTCCTTCTCTATTGTTACTGTCGAGATACAGGCTGTGATGCCAGTCGTTCGAGCAACGAATTCCAACATTGCATCCCGTGCGTGAATACAATATCGTTTCACGTGCTACCTGTATGCTCGTACCATCGAGTCGCCTGCATCACTTCGCGGGATGTTTTGTCTCCATGTTTTCGTTGCACATATTGTGAGCCCTTCGTGATATTGTACAACAACACATGCAATGCTGGCGCTGCATTTCTCTGTCACGAAGGGGGCAGCCACGAGGTAGTAGTCGTAGAAGACCTCCTTATATCTTTCTGTGCCGTCTTTCTTGTAATTATTATTATTTTGACGATCGCACACCCCCACGAGGTTGTAAATCTTTCTTCTCGCGCTTAGAGGGTACAAGTGCAGTGACGGTTCGTAATATGCAAAGTCCCACGTAATCAGTCCGATGGCATTACGCTGTCTCCTCAGCCGGTCTGACACGAGTTCCGCCCACTTGATTGCATCCCCCACCAATCTTGTCTCTCCTGCCTCTGCATCCATTCTGGGTCCATACTGCACGGACCAATCAGGAAAAGGAAAAACTAAAAATACAAAACCCATACATCAGAAGTACGTTAGTCAATGCGGATAGGTACGCAAGACGGATTGCAAGTTGTTCCGTTTGCCACTTTCGCGTCGATGAATATGGTCGATAATATTGAACTTCATCACGGCGTTAGTTTTTTTTAGTTTTTTCGTTCTACCCTCTTCGTTGCGGAATGTTATCGCCGTCGTCTCCATGTCAATGACGATCCTCGACCTTTCGTCAATGACACGCAACATTGCATCTTTGATTTCTTTGAATAGACGTTTGACATACTTCAGCGTCGCCCTTCGCATGTCGCTGTTTTCAGTCGCCGGTGGCACCTTCGTTCGTTCAATCCGTGTTGCGCACCGTGTGAGGCCACCGTCCGAACAGAACGCCACGCACGTCACTGATCCAAACTGCTCTACACCCGTGCCCCACCTCTGAACAAACCCCATCCCGTAGAACAATTTGGTCCATTTGCCGGTGTCGTGCCGTTCGGAATTTGCATCCGACTCTATCGTCTTGGCGAGCTTGTAAACTCTGTCGCGCTCCTCATCGTACCACAACTCAAGCTTGGGCTCATATGCGCACCAGTCTATGCACTCTACACCGACAACTCTCATTTGCGTTCTTGTTTTCGAGGACATGAGCTCCTGCCAGCGCACAGGTGTCCCCCATTTCTCGTTGCGCCTCCACTCCGACGACGCGAACATGCTATACACATTGAACGAAGGAGAAAAACGCAACCCAACTGAACAATTAGCGACTCCCTCTCCCCTGTTCGTGTTGAAGAAATGACGTCCACAACGCGTCTCCCTCGCCACGCCTACATAGATGTGTCTGAATCAGATCCTATATCTTGCGTTGGTGCCGACACCTTGTAAGGGGCGGCCAGCGACAGCTGTGCATTGAGAGCCTCTCTTTTAGGGATCCGCATATCTGTCTCAGAGCGTTCATTGTTGGACCATGCCCACACAACGGCGTCGAGGTATCTACCCTCTCTCCAGGCGAAAACAAACTCGCCTCCTCCTGCATCGAGTGCACTGCCTCAAGGAGCACGTCCATGGATCCCTCTGCTGAGCCTTGAGCCGGCTCACTGCTAGGTGGTAGTCCCTCCTCAACTGTCAATGGCATGACTGGGCCCGCCGCTACTATAGGTAGCGTCGCGAGTTCAGTAGGGGCTCTGAACTCGAAGGCCTCTCTCTCTGCCCCCTTCTGGGCTCTCGCCTCCTCTGGCTCCAGGATAACTTTCCCCATAGGTGGCTCCTGGTGAGGCTCTGCTGCAGATGGCTGCCCCGGCAACCCCTGTCCTGGCTGCCTCTACTCTCCCTGCCGGCTGCTCTCTGGTTTGTCCGCTCTTCCCTGAAATTGTTGCGTCAGGTTCTCGATGATAGCTGCCTGACTGGCCACCAATGCCCTGAGCTCCTGGATTTCCACCTCCATAGCCTCCAGGCGAACTCCATGGTCCTTTGTCTTCTCCCTTGCCAGATCGCCCTCCAATAACAAGTGTCGGTCAAAAGTTGTCTTGGCCAGGAACTTGATTTTGCGATCCAACCTTTCTTCCACCTTCCTTGCTATTCCAAACCGGGCTCTGGTTGGCAAAGGAAGCTCCTCTCCTCTCTGCTCCCAGAAGTCTCTCCACATCTCTGGGATTTCCGGGGCCTTAGCTGGCGCGCTGGGTGGTTGACCCGGGAGTGCCCCTGCTGTCTCCAATCTCTGCCTTTCCTGCTGCTGCTCCGGAAGTGCCCCCACTGCCTCCAACCTCTGCCTCTCTTGCCATATATTTTCTATCCTCCTGCTTCTTCTCGCCCTCTTTCCTTCAGCTGTTTCTCTAGCTGGTGCCCTCTCCCTCGTGCGGAGGTCGATCCTCTTCGGGATCTCTGCCTCCACTTCCTTCTCGGGCTGACACGGCTCCTGACGCGGCTCTGCAGGTGTTGGCTCCTCCAGGTCTGGGTGCTCTAGGGCATGCGCTGCTAAGTATTTGTCAATCAAAGCCAGGGCCTCTCCCCTTGCACGTGCAGTCTCTCTCCTCCTTTCTGCTCTCCTCTCTGGCGAAGGTGCCTTTTCTGATGAAGGCAATGGGGCCTCCTCCCTCTGCAATCCCCCTGCTGCCTGGCGAGTGCTCCCTGGTGTATCCCCAAGCCTCAAACCCATTGCTGGCGTCTGAGGGGGTGTGTCCTCTCCAACCTCTATTACTTCCTTTCCTGCACGTCTCCCTTTATCGCCCAACCCTCTGTCTCGCTGAGTATCTCGGACCTCCCCTCGTGGCATCTCCTCTCGTGGCACCTCCTCTCGTGGCACCTCCTTTGCCTGTCCTCCACGCTCCTCGCCTCGAGACGATGCTCCCCATTGAGAGACATCCAGATGCGCCTCCAACTCTCTCAGCGGCCCCTCAGATGCTGGCGCCTCCTCTCGCGTGCACACTGGCGACCTCCTCAATCCACTCCCGGTAAAGTGGCGGAACTCCACCGGTCCGAGCCCACACTCAGGATACGCTCCTCGCTCCTCACCCTCAGACTCCGACTCCTCTTCTCTCCTGGCTAGAGTCTTCCGTCCCCCTCGAGATGGCCTTGCCTCGTTGGGCTCAGGGTCCCTCTGCCTCCTTCTCCTCCGGCGCCTCTCAACTCGGGGCCGAGGCGACTCTGGCCGTCGAAAGGCCTCCCTTAAGTGTGCCCTGCAGTTCTCCCAATCCCGGGCCATGTCTCTGATCTGCCTAGCCAGCGGCCTCTCCGCCTTTCTGGTCCAGAGGGGTAGCGTCCTCGCCCAATCATCTCTCGGTGTACCCTGCCCCTGCATGAACCACTCGAAGGTAGGAATAAAGTCCGCCACATTTCCGATCTCTAGGCGGATCGGCCTGCCATCAGGTCCCACAGTCGAGGGCCGCTCCTGCATCCTCATCTCCACCTCTGGCCTCGTCGTCGCCTCCCTACGGATCCGGGCAATGGGCTCCTCGAACCTGCCGGCTCCCCTCAATCTCTTAATCGCCTGGGCCACGGTCCAGCCCATACGCTTGACATGCTCCCAGAAACTGTCCAGGAATAGCTCGATGTCCCCATCGTCGTACACCGGAGTACTCTCTCGATGGCGAGGCCCATGCCGCTCATATCCTCCTGATGCCCCCAATGACCTCCGTGACGGCCGTGTCTCCCTACCTCCTCTTGGCATGGCCGTCTTCGTAAAGTCAGACGTGCACAACAGGCGAAGGAGACAACAGGCACACATTGGGGTAAGCAAACAGGTGATAATCAAAGCAAGCTCAGACCAAACCACACTCATGCAATATGCAACCTACCTGACCTACACATCCCATCGCTTTTATTCTAAAGCAGTCAACTAATTTCTCTCACCTCTTCTCCCGCCACAAATTTCTTCAGCTGCGTTCCAGATACCTTGTCCTTCCATTCAGTTCCATTTAGCTCTTCGATCTGATATGCTCCAAAATCTCCACACCGCATGATCCGGTAGGGACCTAACCACCTCTTATCGAGTTTCTTGGACCATTGCTTTTCCAACGATGAATCATATATGAGTACGACGTCCCCGACTGACAAACGTACTTTCCTCACTTGCGCAGACTGATCCCAACAAGCCTTATCATCCATACGACTTCTTTCGATGGAGGGTGTCATTGAGGCCAGGCCCCAGAGATTGGACACGCCTGAGTATGGGCCAGAGGGGATTAGGGCTCGACCAGGGCCGAGTACCCAGGGGTTGGAGGCAGGAGAGGAGCCTTTGGATATGCCTCAGAGCCATGAGCTCAGCAGGGAGGCCAGTGAAGCACCATCATCGCCAGGATCTCAAAGAAGGAAGAAAAAATCCAGGAAATGGTTTGATACATCCTGCTTCTTCTGCATGAAGGAGGGTCATCGAGCCTTGCAGTGTCCTAAATTTTTGAAGGACAAGGCTGAAGGGAAAGTTACAGAGGAGGGTGGCAGGATGTATGATAGACAAGGCAGGAGAGTGGAAAGATCGGCAGATGGGGGTAGGGCTCAACTATATAGGCAAAACCAGGAGGAGATGAGTGAGTAGGACTGGTTTACCTATAGGGTGAGCGACGGGGACGTCGCTCATTATGATCCGGTAAGTTGTCGGTGCGAATATCCTTACAAAGGTACTCGCACTGGGTTTTTGTAGTTGACAGTGGAATGGGTCGATTCAGAATTTATGGGAAGACTGCGCGAGTTGCGGGGGCGCGCGGGTTAAAGGTTCGACGGTAACACCTAGAAAATAGAGAGTGTGTGGGCGCGCAGGTTTCAGGCGCGTGTGATTTTTCTCCCTTTTTAATCGCAATAGAAGGCACGACGTTGATGATTCGTCGACATGCTCTATCATAACAGTTGTTTTGTTTTGAGTAAACTGACTAACCTATGGGCGTTTTTTTCTGTAGTTCCGCGTGGTACAGTGGACGGTTCAATGAACCCGTATGGACGTATACGGAAATCCAGATGATGCGACCTGATGAATTTGGCTAAGGACGGACATCCGCGGCAAGGCCGGTAGGCCGACGTGAGTTTTGGGTGGTCCTCTGTGCAAGTATGGGCCGGGAAGTGGTATAGGGCGTTTCCTTGGCCCCAAGAGCCGTGCGCTACCTCTTCATTAGGAGATCCGAGCCCGTTGATACCAGGGCTTGGGCTTCGCCCTATAGGTTACGGCATTGGGCTGACACTACGGAGGTTCGGGGATCGAGGCCAGCGGGCGTCGGCACGGCAGCAGCAGAGCAGCATGGAGCGAAACCTGAGGGGTTGAGGGCCCGGAAGGGCTATCCCCCTCGGTTTTCTTAGCAGGCGGCGGCGGGCCCGGTCCGCGAGATTCTCCCCTTCCCCGTTTTGTCTCTTTGTTAATTCTTTTACACACTTCTTGCTAATTTTGTTTTAGTTTTCACCTTCTTACTCGCGTCCCGTTTCTGGGCGCGAAACCGGGTTGATATAGGGCCGCATGGGATGGGGCGTATGTGCAGGGTTGCCCAAAGTGCACTTGCAAGCTGTTTTCGTGGCTGCGCCGGAGCCGCGCCCGGCTCCGTTTTGCCTGGAACCCGGTGTCGTGGGTGTGGCTGGCACCCAAGAGCCTAGCCCGGTGGGTACATCCCGGAGCTGTTGAAATGCAGACCGGGTTTGGGCCCGGATGACGGGGCCGCGGTGTGGTCGGGCTCACATAGGGACCTTTGCTCAGTTTGGCCGCTGGCTACTACGGCCGGGAACTGCATCACGCCCGACCCACCAAGGTTGTAGCAAGCCACGACTGCCCCTGTGAGAGCGGCCTGTCGTAGCTGTAAGGGGGCGAATGTTCGAAGCAGCCTAGGGCCGCTCGAGCACCGAAAGGTCACGAGGCCTTGCCCCAGGACTAGCCGGCGTCGGGGTGAAAAATATAAGTCTGGGAGAGTCCGATGACCGCCCGTTGTCGAACCACGCAGTAGGAAGGGAGGGCTGGGGCGATATCATATCGGGCCGTAAGTTGTCGGGGAGCAGGGTGCGAAGGCCGTGAAGGAGAAGGGTGAATCAGGACGGGGTTCGCGACTGGGTGAGTGTGAAGCTACGAGGGAAACACGGAGACGGGGAGTAGACGAGATGGCTGACGCCGGGCGTTGAGGATGGGAAGCGGACGCGGCCACGTAGAGGAGCGATGAAACAGTAGTATCGGGCCACGGTGGCGGCAGGGGGAGAAGAAATAGGAAGTGAACCCGGTCGCGGCCGTGCGTCGGATGCATTCGGAGGAAAATCAGGGGAGATAGGGGAGGAGGACAGGCTACGAGGAGACCGGGCGCTGCAGCAGCGGCTAGCGCAGGCGGGACTAGGCACGCATCGGGGTCGGGAGCAGTCGGAGCTGAAGAGGAGGAGGGGAGAAAATAAGCTAGCGAGAATTGGCTGAACTTAGACGAGACTTGAGCTAGGTGCTCGTGAAGCGGGGAAAGAGGCAGCGATGGGGGAAAACGTCTGTGGCGGACAGGAATCACGTAGCTCGATCGATTCGCAATAGAATCGAATGAGTGGAGGTTCGATTCCGGGGGTTTCGAGCAGGGCGAATCAGTTAATACGGTTAGTTTGGTCGGAAGGGTGCCGAGTAGGAGGTGGATGAGGAAACTGCTGCGCGGTGACGTCGCGGAGGAGTGGCTATGGTCAGAGGAAGATGGCATACTATGCCCGATCCGTTATGGAATCAGGCGGGGTAAGATCCCAAACATGGGTTTTAAATCATGGCGACGCGGAATATGATGTTCGATTAGTATGAGAGTTAGCGGGATACAAGTTAGTAAGGGGAAGACGCGCGTGGAGACATCGTGAGAAGAGACATGGCGGGAGCAAGAGTCTTCTATACCGCCCGACACTCAACGACACCGGGCGAGCGAAGATCGGTTCCGAGGGTTCTCGGCTAGGGCGACGTGAACGGCAATATCAGATTCCGTATTGAGGCTTTGGGTTTGGTGCGGTAGGAATCGGAAGCTGCTCGAGAGAGGGGGAGTTTCCAGATAGAATGTATCTTTTCGTGATCTAGCGGAAGGTTTATTCTCATTTTGCACGTGTGAGGAGATGGTGCAGCAAAGCACGCTACTACCGCCGCCGTGATAATCCTCGACGTTGCTGTCGTTCGTCATCCCAGTCGTCGCGATTTCACACCCACACCAATCGTTGCCGCCGTTTTTCTTCCCGACGGTGGCTCGTAGCAGAAATCCAAGCGAACCTAGCCGATATCGGCGGCCAGGCGCATTCGACGAAGGAAGTGGTGAAGGGGGGGGACCACGACAGGGAGACGACTTATCTAGAGGTTGTTGATATGGCCCATCCCAGTAAACGAAGAGATTGCGGATCGAGCTATAGGCTCGCGGGCTGACATGGTTGCCGGTGTATTATCTGGCGGTGTCTGCCCTGCCGGCTAAAGGAGTGACGAGCTTGCAGGCGGCCTGTTGGACTGGTGCCGTGCCCGGGGCCGAACGAAGGAGCCGGCCATAGGCCACGGGGACTGTAGGCTTTCCTGCTTGGAGGTACGCTGTGGGCATGGCTGGTTGGAAGGGCGGAGTGAAGCCGCTGACAATGTGTTGTACGCGCGCCAACGTAGATGAAGTGAGGGCCGGGTTGCAGCTCCGATTTTGGCAGTAACCCGAAGTGTGGACCGCTGTAGATTGAGGACAAAATGTTGCAGCAGGCAGGACACACACTACTGTGTTTACTATGGACTGAGTACAGATTTCCACTGTGGATTGTATTCTGAAGAATGTGAGCTGCGGTTGACTGATAGGGGCCCGCTGTTTTAAGTTGCTGTATGCCGCGGGTCTGTTGTGGCATCGGTTTGTACCACGGGTCTACTGCAGCATTCACGAGCTGCGCGCGAGCTACTGCGGCGGACAGGGTACGGACGGCTGCCAGTTGCTCTTTTACCAGAGCTGAGTGTTGTTGCTGCGTACGGGCTGCTGTTGCGGGCGGATGTATATTGCAGCAAGCCACCAAAGGATTGTTTTGTTAAGTCTAAGTGGGGTACTGCCACTGTTGTTGTCTGCTACGGATTGTACACGGGCTACGGGCTGTGGACTATAGGTTGTTGCTGCTGGCCACTACCGTGTACCGCTACTGCTGCTGTTGGTGACTGCTAACTATTACAACTGGTGAGCGGCCGCGATTGGGCGAGGTTTGGAGGGATGATCAGATCGGACATAAAGGGAAGTTATTGCTGCGATGTTGATGAGCCGTCAGGGGGATTGTGCTCAGCTGTTTGGTCTCGGACCCGACCAGGCTGGTACATCGGCCGCCATTGTGGGGCCCTCAGGCGCTGAAGATTACAAGGCTCTCTCCAGTGAGTTGAGAGCACCCCTCTGGTATCTGAGAGTCTCAAAACCTTCTTTTTTTACCCTTCTTACTCTAAGTCTGGTCCTGTTCTGAGGGCAAGGCGACAGGGGGGATTGCAACCCGTAGGACTGCATCAAGACTCTGTGGGGAGTCAGTCCACCGATTGCGGGAGCTCTGTCGGAACTCAGGAGGAGTTATGGAGGCAGGGAAATGTATCACCCATTGCTTCTCTTCTATAAACCTTGTTATACCCCTCACCTGTATCACCCAATGCATCTCTGACGGAATATATGATGTGCAGCCCTATTTTTTGTTTGACTTTCAGGAGACTGGACAAGACTAAGTAAAAAAATGTATGTTGAAGATCAGTTTCAACTTTATTGATTGTGTGAATTCAGATTGCTGAAAAGAACTGCATCTGGGGAAAGGCAGGATGGAGGGTTGTTTTGTTTGGAGGTTGACAGGGTCCTTAAGGCTGGGAGGTCCCCATAAGTTTGGGGAGACTCAGTGCCTTGTT